GCTTGCCACGCGCTAAGCAGGCTGCTCGCCACCATTCACTTGCAGATCCACAAAACCATAAAAGGCACAGGTACCTTAAATGCATAGGGTGACTCCGCTGCATCCCATGATCCCGCAATGTGCTAAAAAATGCGGCCATATGACTTACCTGTCACTGTCAGCTGACTCATAGAACCACGCACGCAGGAGACAAGGAACAGGTAGTTGCTCGCAGAAGCTAGGCATTCAGCGACGTGCGTAACTGGCAGAAGGACGCACTCATAAAGTGGGCTGAGCTGAGTTGTGATGCGCCTACTGCTAAAATTGTCTCTGGTCTGCCTATTGACCTGACCACTCGGACTACCGTATAAAGTATACGCAGTGAAGCAATCACAAAAGACTTAGAGTTGCATAAACCTGTCTGTTCAAAGCTGGCCCGTTGGGCAGCCCATGCCGCTTTGGCACGTTGGAAAGTTACCAAGGTTGGAAGTTCTGGGTACTCATGTTAGTAGTAGGGGTAGAAGGGGTAATGAGGGTGGTTATGGTGGTGGTGGTGTGGGGGGTGGTGTGGGGGATGTGCTGGTGGGCAGGTGGTAGTGGTGGTGACAGGGATCAAAACAATGGGAGGCGGCGGAGGTGGAGGGTGGTGGTGGTGATGGTGCTCGGGTCTATGAGGCGGAGGAGGGGGTGGGACGTTCACATTGTGATCGTGGCTGTGCTGGTGATGAATGTAGAACTGCTGGGGAGGAGGTGGGGGTGGAGGGGGAAGCTTCTGAGGGGGAGGTGGAGGGGGAGGAGGAGGAGGCGGAGGAGGAGCGGGGTAGAGATGGGTGTGGTGATGTTCGGTGGTCGTGGGAGCTTGGGTCTTTGCTGCTGTAAGCTTGGCCAGAAGGAACTTTGCAAGGAGCTTGTCTAGAAAGAATACGCGGGGAGTCGCACCCTCAGATTCCTCAACGGCTACAGCGGTGGGCTCATCGGCTTGCAGAGCCTCCACAGCGGCATCCTGCTGCATGAAGGCGACTATGGGCTCGGTAGCGCTGACATCATCAGCCCTGCAGAAGGGGATCGTTGCGGCCAAAGCAGCAGCGAGAGCAACGAATGTCTTCATTGTCGAGCTCGCCCAGAATCCGCCCAGAATCGGAATACCTCTTCGGAGCTACCTGATCCTGAATGGTTACCTGGTAAGGCAGATAATATTATCTGATGCACATCTACACAACCCACGCGACCTGTTTCTCAGCAAATTTCCGTTGTGAGCAGTTGGAGATGAGGAGAGACAGGTACCAACGAAGGGCAAAAGAGACAGGCTCGCGCCACGCGAACT